TATATATATATATATATATATATATATATATATATATATATATAAAATCTTTCAATTTCTCAGGAATTTCGTAATACTCTGATCGTTGATATTTATATATTGCGTTAATTCGATCGAAATCCAAATTCATCCAAATTTACATTTTTACGAATAGGACTAAACGACGAATAGAAACTTGCAGCAGAGATCTATCTTTTGTCCACTAAGCATCATAATGATCACCGCGAACGCAACGGTCTAACTATATCGTACAATTATGATACGTTATTACTAAACAATAATAATCACGTGGATAACGTTAAATACGAATGATATATATATAATAATTGTATAGTACTATATAATATAGTATTATATATATATAATAATATAGTATTAAATATTATTATATAGTATTATATATTATATATATATAAAATTATGGTTGTATTATATAGTTAAAATTATGTTATATAATGTATTATATGTATTATATAGTAAAATTATGTTATATAGTATTATATATTATATATATGTAAAATTATGGTTGTAATTATTTTACTTGGTAAGTAGCGCCGAAATTCTCTCCCTCAGCACAATTACTACATTCGCAGTGAAATTGAACAATTTAACAATTGCGAATTGACAGTGGATTCAAGAGGCTGGCTGCGGACACGAGGACGTGGCAAGTGAAAAATAAGCGGCTGTTACGCAAAATCCGCTGAAGCTCAAGATGCAATTCCGTACGACATTTGATCGATCTGAATTCTCTTTTGCAATGAACTACTACCTTGCGAAATTGCTCCTCCTTTCAGTACCCCGCCTTATTTCCTCGCGTTCTTATCAAGAATATGAGAAAGGATTTCGACTATTCTCCAACTATCTACATTAAATACGATTGCAATACTTTGTTCGTTATTCAAATCCCTGTCATACGTCATCAATTTAATCAAACTCGATCAGAATTCTGTCATCTATGATCTCCCTGCTCTTTCGATTATCCAAGTTACATTTTTTAAACATGAATTTTTATCCTCAA